GTAAGGAAAAGCCACTGAAGGATGCTTGGATGGGCTCAAAAGTTGGGTAGTAGGGGTCAGGGAATTACCAGAGTAGGGAAAACAGTGTTAACCACGTTGATGGAGATTCAGCTATGGTAGATACTTGCTTGAACCTGCAGAGGGAGGGCTAAGCAAAGAACAATGGCCTCTGCCAACACTTCTGTCTGGCAGAAAGCTGCCCCTCTAGCCTTGACCCTAAAGTCAGATGATTCATGTCCTCCCCACGTGACCCTGGTACCTTCCGAGCTGCTGTCCAGCACTGGAGCTCAGAGCAAGTGAGTCTCTCAGCAAGTAAGTCCATCCATGGGAACACCTGGGACTCCAGAAGCCCTCTGTTTCACTCAGTCCAATCCTTGATAGTTTTCACAGTCAGAAATTATAAGAACTTTTCTTCATGGCACTGTAACTCTAGGATGGGGGGCTGCTATGGGGCTGGGACCCCTTGTCAATCATACTCAATGAGCAAAGCTAATAGTGTTTCTGTTGAGACTGGGAACAAGACAAGGATATCCACTTTCACTACTCTTATTCAACATAGTACTGGAAGTCTTAGCTACAGCAATCAGACAAGAATAAGAAATAAAAAAGTATACAAATTGAAAAGGAAGAAGTAAAAAGCAGTCACAATTTGCAGATGAACCCTAAAGATTACACACACACACACACACACACACACACATTAGAACTGATAAATGAATTCAGTGAAGTAACAGGATACAAAACGAATATCCAAAAATCACTTGCATTTATATAAACCAATAATGAACCGTCAGAAATGGAAACTAAGAGAACAATCGTATTTACAATTAAATTAAAAAAAACAAACCACCTAGGAGTAAATTTAACCTAGTATATAAAAGACCTGTACTCAGAAAATCATAAGACACTGAAATTGTTTTATAATTCAAAGAAATCAAAGAATCTACAAATAAGAGGAAGCATATACTGGATTCATTGATAAGAAGAATTAACATCATTAAAATGTCCATACTATCCAAAGCAACTTACAGATTCAACACAATTCCTGTCAACATACCAATGGCATATTTCACAGAATTGTAAGATATAGTCCAAAAATCTATAGGGAACCACAAAAGACCCCAAATAGCTACAGCAATCTTCAAAAAGAAGAACAAAGATGAAGGAATCATGTTGTTATCAAACTATACTACAGGGTCATAGTAATCAAAACAGCATGGTACTGGTATAAAAACAGACACATAGATCAATGAAACAGAATAGAGAGCCCAGCAATAAACCCACACCTTGATGGTTAATTAATATTTGACAAAGCAGGCAAGAAAATACAATGGGATAAGGAGAGTCTATTCAGTAAATGGTGTTGGGAAAATTGGACAGATATGTGCAAAAAAATGAAATCAGACCACCTTGTTACACCATACACAAAATAAACTCAAAATGGATTAAATACTTAAATGTGAGACTCAAAACCATAAAAATTGTAGAAGAAAAAGTCCTACAAGAAAACATAGGCAGTAAAATCTCAGACATTTCTTGAAGCAATGTTTTTTTCCCGATATATCTCTTTGGGCAAGGAAAATGAAAGAAAAAAATAAACAAATGGAACTATATCAAACTAAAAAGTTTTTGTACAGCAAAAGAAACCATCGACAAAATAAAAAGACAATACACCAAATGAATGGGAGAATATATTCACCAATGATACATCTGAAAATGGGTTAATATCCAAAATTTAAAAAGAACTTATACAATTCAAAATCAAACAATCAATCAACCCAATTTTTAAAAATGAGCAAAGGACCTGAGAGGACACTTCCCCAAAGAGCACCTACAGATGGCCATAGACATATGAAAATTGCTCAAAATTGCTAATCATCAGAGAAATGCAAATTAAAATCACAGTAAGATACCTCACACCTGTCAGAATGGCTACCATCAATTAACCAACAAACAACAAATGTTAATGAGGTTGTGGAGAAAAGGAAACCCCTGTGCACTATTGGTAGGAACACACACTGGTGCAGCCACTGTGAAAAACAGTATGGTGTTTCTTCAAATAATTAAAAAAGAAACTGCCTTATGACCCAGCAATGCCACTTCTGGGAATACAGTCAAAGAAAACTGAAACCGATTCTAAAAATACATGCACCCCTATACTCATTGAAGCATTATTTACAATAGCTCAGATTTGGAAGCCACCCAATTGCCCGTCGGTAGATGAGGGGATAAAAAAGCAGTGGTACATTTCCACAATGAAGTACTACTTGGCCATAAAAAAGAAGGAAACATTACCTTTTGCAACAGCGTGGATGGACCTAAAGAGTTTTATGCTAAGTGAAATAAGCCAGTCAGAGAAAGATATGTACCATATGATTTCACTTATATGTGGAATCTAACAAACAAAATAGAAACAGACTCATAGATACAGAGAACAGATTGGCAGCTGCCAGAGTGTTACCAACAGTACACAGTCTGTTGGGAGCACGGGGGCGGGGGAGACTCCCCCACCAACCTAGATGGCAGCAGGGAGAGGCTCTTACACTGAGCAGGGGGCTCAGTGTATTGAGCACTGGCCTGTGGACCGAAAGATACCATGTCAATTTGTTGTCAGGGCACATGCATGCGCTGCAGGCCAGGTCCCCAGTTGGGGGCCTGTGAGAGGTAACTGATGTATCTCTCACACAGCAGTGTTTCTCTCCCTTTCTTTCTCCCTCCTTTCCCCTCTCTCTGAAAATGAATAAAATCTTTTTTAAAAACCAAGAATGGTTTTCATTAGAAATTACTGACTAGAGCAAATTTGAAAGGAAGAGGTATTGTTGTCTTATTAAAACTCATGCTCATCCCCCATGCCAACCACCCCCATCTTGTGAACTACCTCCCTGCCGTGTCTGAACGCCGAAATGGGATTTGGGACTGCTGCGAAGGGACCAAGGTCTTAACAGCATGAGTGTAGCCCAGGGATGGCCACTTCCGTGAGGGCAAAGGTGTGGCTGGCTGAGTGACGTGTTTAAAACCATAAATGTAAACCATGAAAACCTGGAGTGAACTGTAATTTGATGCATAAAAGGCATTTACAACGGACTGAAAATTTGAAAAATGGAGTATAGTGTGTAGCTGGTCATTGGAAAGGAGAGCAGTCCTTCTGCTGGTCCTTGCTGAGTTTTAGAAAAACAATCTATTACTTTTGGTAGCTTTTTGGGGGGCAATAAGAAGTGCACTGGCATCAAAACCATAAAAAAAAATAAAATATATCCAATGCAGCACCTCCAAATTCACTGGCCTGCATCTTCTCCTCCCTTCTGCCAGTATGTCTTATTCTGCCTTCCAAAGGTTGTCAGAATACACAGGAGGCATTGGCGGGGTTCCTTGGTGTCATTTGCAGGTGGGGGATTTCCAGCCGCAGCCAGGTGCAAGGTGCACAAAGTTGCCAATTCCACTCGCCCCTCCGCCGCCCAAACAGTCGCACCACGAGTTTCAGGAGCCGTGGTCTGCTTCCAGCCCAGGGGTGGGGGATGGGGGGTGGGAGGTGGAGGGATGGGGGTGGAGCAGGGTACTGAGCTGGGGAGGCGCTGCTGGGGAGAGCACAGCAGCCTCCACAGTTCTCTTGCCTCAGGGGGCAAAACAGTGCCACCCCCAGGCTCTTTGAAAGGGTCAGGAGGAAGGGGAGGGCTGCGAAGGGGAGGGGCGAAGTTACATTGTCAGGCTCTGGTTTGTAAACTCGCAGGTGTTCTGGAGCCCAACCCCACCCTTTCACGGAATAAGTGAGTTTCTGCCACACAGGGTGTCACCGAGTTGGAAATTTCTAATGTCAAAAAAGGCTTGCGAGGGTTATTCAAGATAAAAGGCGTTGACCCTCCATGTCTCAGGAAATCCGGCCACTCTGTGTGGTGGTACTTAGGGGTGGGCGTCCAGACAGTGAGTGAGCCAGCATCTGATCTGTTCCTTCATGTCTGGTTTTGCATTTGTTGGATGTGCATGACTCCGTGAAGAATGATGCCAGAGGGTGATCTCTACCTTTAATATTCCTTACACTTCCCTGCACGCGCGGATCGCCGGAATCACCAACCCACTGGCTGCTTGGGCCTTTTTACGCACTGCGGCAGCCCCGTGTCCAGGAAAGGACGTGCTCTCGGAGGCCCAAGTCCAGAGTCAAGTCGTAGAGGGCATGGCGGCAGGGTGGTGGCCTGCCCTCGGCCTCCACCAGTTGTTTCTCTGATGGTGGGCCTGGTGGGGAGGCTGGTGCGGCGCGCGTGGGGCCATGGAGCCAGGGTCCCGCGGAGGCACCGAGGCAGGCGAGGCTCGCACCGTGCTGTTGCTGAGTGCAGGCGGCACCGCCCCCTGCCCCTGTAAGCCGACCGTCCGAGCAGCCTCTCCGGCCTTGGCGGGAACCCCTCGACAGAGTGGGCTCCCCGTGAGCGCGCCTCACGGCCTGGTGCCACCCAAGGCCTCCTGCTGATAGCGGCGACTCAGATTCCCAGTGATTTTGGAAAACTGTGGTGCAGATGGAAAAAGGACCAACGCACAGAAATCAAACACCTGCCGGCCAGGTTCAGCTCAGCTAGTGATGGGGCTCCAGAGAGTCAGAGCCTCCGGGGCTCTGGGAGGAAACGCGCGGCAGGAAAGGGGCCTGCGCTAGGGGCTGGCTCCGCAAAGCACCAGCTCGGCTGGACCTCCCAGTACCCGTGGCACCCTGGCCGCAGGAGAGCGCACGGAAAACGTTTTCATGAATCGCAACTATACACTTTTCTCTAGAAGCGCCAGTACCACATATAACAAAGAAAAGACGTGAGGAGGCGAAGGCTCCCCTGAAGCTTGTCTAGGGCGGGGAGGTGGGCCGGGAAATACACGGCATGCACTGAGTGGGTATAGGAACTTGGAAGGACAATGCCCTCGACGCCAGTGCTACTGTCGAGTGCCGCGGACTTCTCGTGTCAGAGATCCCCGTGGCCTTTTCAATCCCAACCAGCCTTGCCGCCCTCCCGCTCCACACATCTTAGAGGAGGCACCTCTCTGCTCCGCGGGTGTCGACAAGGGCACCCTCTGTGACTGGAGCGAAGACCTCTGGCCCTACCCCCTCTCTGGGTTCCGCTGGTTTGGGGACAACCTCCGGACGCTGCGGCACCGAGTCTAAAGGGCTCGCAGTCACTGGCGCGGGGCTCCCAGTCCCATCTCTCCCGCATAGCCTGGGTGACAGAAACAGCCGCCTCCGGGCGGACCTCCTGGCCGTTTGCCAGATAAGAGCGCTTTACGCCTTTGTTTTTGAGTGTTCACCAGATAGCTAGAGCGGGCGGCGGGGAGGATGACGGAGCTGCACGCTGCACGGGAGCAGATGATACCATCCGGGCTTCCTTCCAAGCATTTCTCTTCTGGCCCCTGCCTGCCTCGCTCAGCCCCACCAAGAGCACAGAGCATCAGGGGGCGCAGGCGGGTTGGGCTCCCGGCCAGTGCCCCCTAGCTCCCTGGCTGGTTCCTGGGGCCACGCTGATGGGCTACTGAGCAGTTAGCCTGAGGCCGCCGAGCCGACACTCCAAACGAAGGTGTGGGCTCCTGTCCTTTCCGACCGGCAGCAAAATTCCCCCACCACCTTCACCCCAGAAAAGATCACCTTGCCTTTCGCTCAGGACTCACTGGAAGGGGTGCTGAGACTTTAGTCTGGGGTTGTACTGTCACGTGGCCTTTCTATATCTGTTTACAAACAAAAACTGACCAAGCTGGCCAGATGGCAGGACAGCACCCAGTGTTACCAGCAATGTAGGCAGTGAAATTGGACCTCTCTTCTTGAGTTCAGCGAAGATAGATTTCAGAACCAAGAACTCGAGTTATAAGAGAAAGTTTATTTTAAAAGTTATAGAGGTAGTAGAAGTGAGCCAACTGGGCTGCAGTAGGCTCAGGAAATAAGTTATAGAAGCCGAAGAAGGCCCTTGGGGCCCTGGACTGGTAGCTCAGTTGGTTAGAGTGTATCCCCACATGCCAAGGTTGCAGGTTCAGTCCCCGTCAGGACACATACAAGAATCAACCAATGAGTGCATAAATAAGTGGAACAAACCAATGTCTGTCTCTCTCTTCACATAATAAATAATCTTTTTAAAGGCCCTTGGAGCTTAGGAGAGGAAAAGGCAAATGTAACATGCCTCGAGGGAAGAGGAGGGGCATGGGAAATGTTTGCACTTGCTCCCCACAGGGAGAGAAGTCTGTGTCCTTCTTCTTGAGGGTTTTAAATGCTGGGAGTTCAGGGGAGGTCTTGGGGGAAGAACTCAACAGAACATTCAACAGCTTTATGCTGATGTGCCAAAATAATATTTATCCCCTGACTCCATTAGTCCTTGAGTGTGGTTGGCACAAATAACACTAATTGGATTTTTGTTATCTATCTCCTGGAGTAGGGTGATTTACCCTCTGGTTGGGAGAAGTGTAAACCATTTACTCTTTAAGTGTCCTTGGTTAGGGAAGATAGGATTTTGTAATTTACCAGATGGCTGTAAACTGCTTGACAGTTTAACTTTCTGTCTCAGTTTCCTTATTCCACTTGTCCAGGTTTATTTGTCTCACGAAGACCCTCCCTTCTCCGTTGGAAGGTACCGGTTAGGGCCTTCCCTAAATTGAGTTTCTTTAATCCATCTAGCCTGGGCACTGCACCACACAGTAAGATGTCCTTGCTCCCTAATGACCTTGCCCCCACTTCAACGTTGCAGTTTGTCAAAGCATGGGAAGTGAAGCGGTGGAAGGGGGTTACAGTGCAGCACTGGGAAGACAGGGGGCGCGGGGCGGGGGCAGCCAGAGAAGCACCAGAGATGAACGGGAAAGAGAGGGAGTAGGGCCAACGATTCCAAGGAGGAGAGGCACACAGGACCGAGTGGCAAAGGGTACTGCATTCCCCACAGTGCACTCCATGCATGCTCAAACCCATGGCTGCCGGCACTGGCCTCAGCACACGATTCTTTGAGCCCAAAAATCTTGAGGACCCCAACTCAGTGGAGGCACCACCCTCTCTCCCATATGCAGGTCCTGGCTCATCTCAGTCCCTTCATTTTTTAAAAAATTATATTTTCTTGATTATGCTATTGCAGTTGTCTCAATTTTTCCCCCTTTGCCACCTTCCACCCAGCCCCCCCCCCCCCAACTCCCTTAGATAATCTCCACACCATTGTACATGTCCGTGGGTCATGCATATAAGTTCTTTGGTTACTTGATTCCCTATGCTGTACTTTATATTCCCATGATTATTCTGTAACTACCAACTTGTACTTCTTAACCCCTTCACTTTTTTTGCCCATCCACCCAACCCCTCCTCCCATCTGACACCCATCAAAACATTCTCTGTATCTATGATTCGGTTTCTGTTCTGCTTGATTGATTATTTTGTTTTTTAGATTTACTTGTTAACAGATATTGCCACATTATTGTTCATATTTTTGATCTTCTTCTTAAAGAAGACCCTTTAACATTTCATAAAATACTGGTTTGGTGGTGGTCAACTCCTTTAGCTTTTTCTTGTGTGGAAAGCTCTTTTTCTGTCCTTCAATTCTAAATGATAGCTTGCTGAGTAATCTTGGTTGTATGTCCTTGTTTTTCATCACTTTGAATAGTTCTTGCCCATCCCTTCTAGCCTGCAAATTTTCCTTTGAGATATCAGCTGACAATCTTATGGGGGCTCCCTGGCAGATAACTGACTGCTTTTCTCTTGCCGCTTTTAAAATTCTCTCTTTGTCTTTAACCTTTGCCATTTTAATTATGATGTGTCTTGGTGTGGGCCTCTTTGTGTTCATTTTCTTTGGGACTCTCTGCACTTCCTGGACTTGTATGTTTATTTCATTCACCAAGTTAGAGAAGTTTTCTGTCATTTTTTCCTCAAATAGGTGTCCAATTACTTGCTCTCTTCTTGTAACTGGGCAGCCTGGGGTCTGGCCACTTGCTGACATGTATAATCGTCACATGAAGATTTGTGGGGAAGGAAAGAGGTTTTTATTAACAGGGTATTCACTGTTGGAGGGGGGGTGTTGCTGAGAGCATTCCTGTTTTAAGCCAACCTTTCCTACAAAGCACAGAAATTTCCATGTTCCCAAAAGGACTGAATCCATGTCTTAAAGTTTCTTATTATTGTTTATCTGTCCTTTTGGAGTTCATGGTATCTACACGTATGGGTCTCCATTTATAGGCTTCTTTTTGGGGTGGGCATATGGGGGTTCCAGAGTTACCATTGTCCCACAGCAGCTTTTTCTCTCCCTCAGGGTCCATGGTGCACTGCCAGATCAATCCAGACAGTCGTGTAGAGGAAGCTCCACTTGTGGGTCCCCAGCACCCAAGGCTGCCTGTGCCTCTGGGGTCAAGGAATATTCCAAGCTCATGCCTCCATGTTCTGTTCCTAGACTCAGTGCACTGTTCTCAGAGTAAGGAAACAGAAGCACTCTAGGACCCATGTGGTGTGTCACCCAGAATCCCAAGAGTGGGCACCCAGCAAGGCACACATCCTAGCATAGGCCTTCACCTTTGTGAGCTGATTCCTACCCATGTGAGGCTTAAGCCTCAAGTGGGCCCATTGTTTGTGGTCCCGCGAGCACTCTTGTGAGTGCTCCCCAACCAGAGGCACAAGGCAAGGAAGGGTGAGGCTTCTGTGTGTGTTCTGTTTTAAAGTTCCCTCCCCAAATCCCACATGCTGTGGGGGTATCCATCTATTCAACCAAATGGGCTAACATTGGCCATGTTTGTCACAGTTGTCTTTGCCCCTCTTCCAGCTGCCATTTTGTGGAAGAGGGCAGACGTTTCCCAGTTGTGCACAGGCACACAGGTGTCTTGGCCCAGAGTGGAGCGTCTGGCCTCTGATGTGGCTTGCTGACCTCCATCATACACATGTGTTTTGACCTTTTCAGCACTGCACAACCTCAGTGAAAGTTCCTTCTGGATGGCTCACAAGCTGTTCAGCTGCCAGCACTGTGCATGCTGACTGTTTACTGTTGCCTCAAGCAGCAGCCTCCCCCTGTAGCCCCTTCCCTGCTGGGTCACTCTGGTTGGTTTTGGGGGCAACACATGCTGGTTTGTTTACAGCTGTCTCATCTGAGGCAACAGCCAGGCTGTTTTGATTACTATGGCCTTATAGTATATGGCATGAGATGGCATGAGCACTCTCTGCAGTAATGACAATGTCTTATATCTTGATAAGTTGGTGATTACATTGGTGTCTGTTACAGATTGAATCCTGTGTCCCCAATTTATATGTTGAAGCCCAAATCCCCAATGTGATGGTATTTGGAAGTGGAACCTTTGGGAGGTAATTTGGTTTAGATGAGGCCATAAGAGTGGGGCCCTTATCATGGGATTAGTATTATGCCTTATTATAGGAAGAGGAAGAGACACCAGAGCTCACTCTCTCCAAGATATGAGGACACGGCATGAAGACATTGTATGTAAACCAGAAAGAAAAATGGCACCCTGATCGTAGTCTCCCAGCCTCCAGACCTGTGAGAAATAAATGTCTGTTGTTACAGCCTCCCAATTTATGGTATTGTTATAACAGCCCAAACTGGTTAATAAAGTGTCTAACATAGGCAAATTATTTGTAAGCTGTACACTTAAAATAATTGTACTCTATGCACTTTATCTTTAGTCTGTGTTATATTTCAAATAAACACACATGCACGACATCACTTGCAATAGCCCATCCTTCCCTATACTTGGTTCACCACAACTTATCTGATACTTGGTACCAGAGCAAGTGTCCATTAAATATGTGTTGAGTGAACCAATGACCCATGATGCCTGTCTCCTGAATATATTCTTTTTATCTGTATATGGATTTGTCTCCTTCCATGGACTATGAGCTCTATAAGCCTAGAGATTATTTCACCTTGCTTACTGAACACTATCTATCCATAAAGCAAGGGTTAGTCAAAATTAGATGAGTTGAAAGAAACTCCAATAAATTAGAATTTGCAAACCTTGGACTGATTCTGACCATTTCGTGCAAACCAAATCCTCTCTTACCTTTAGAATGACCAGTGGGTCAAACTTTGACAAAAGGTGGATAAATATACATGCTTCTGACATCCAGTGTTCCAGAAATGAGCTTAAGATGTTTGCTATCCTAGCTGTATGTGATAAGATCCATATTAGGTCTGAGGTTTGCAAGTCTCTCCA